TAGAGGTGAAAGGAAAAAAACCTTAGGTCTCTACGACCACTCCTTGACCCCAAACATTTCTTTGAGTGAGTAAGTGAGTGAGTCAGTCAGTCAGTCGGATTGGGGCTTTATAGATTCTTGATGATGATTGCCCAATTGCCGGTGGCGGGGTCCCGATTACGGCACAGTTTCGGAAATTCTCGACCAGACCAACCGATGGGGCGAATAAAAATTTTTAGTCATTCGGTCCCCTTTTTAGAAGATTGAGTAGGTTTGCTCGGAAACAGTGGGAAATTTTCAACTTTTGAGATGTTTCTCAAATAATCCATTAAATTTGGAATCGAATGAAAAAACCCGCAGGTCTCTACGACCACTCCTTGACCCCAAACATTTCTATGAGTGAGTGAGTGAGTCAGTGAGTCAGTCAGTCGGATTGGGGCTATAGGTTCTTGATATGAGTGAAGTCAGTCAGTCGATTTGGGGAGTGAGGGTTCGTCAATTGATGATTGCTTTTGAGGATGTTGCGGGTGACGGGGCCAATTGTGGCAACAGTACGAATTTTGCCACCGCCGAAAGGGCATTAAAATTTTAGTGGGCGGTCGGGCGTATTTTTGAAGCTTGGGATTTGTTGAATTTAGCCTATTTAATTTTTACGATGTTGGCAGTACGATACCTATTGCGGCAACAGCGGAAATGTCTCGACCATACAACCATGGGCAGAAAATTTAGTCGGTGGTCCCCTTTTTCGAGATGAGTGGACTTTGTTAAATTTAGGCCTATTTATCGTTTTGTGTTTAGCCGGTGAAATTCCCGATTGCGGCAAAGTTTCAGCATGTCTCGCCCAGACCTACCGAAATCAAAGGTTTTTGTCGCCCTTTTGGAAGATTGAGTAGGTTTGCTGGGAATCTCGAATTTGTGCACTTTCCTTTATAGATAAATTAGTTCCTCGAAAACGTGAGAATTTTCACTGTTGGATTTTAGCTAATTTTAAAATTTTTGGGAAAATGGAAAAAAGTTGGTCCAGACCCTCCTTCAGACCTAACAGTGATGATGTATAAACGCAGTGATAAAGTCAGTCGATTGGGTAATAGGTTCTTGATAAGGGCACGATACACTGCAAGAAATAACCACAACAAAAGTACATAAATTTCTGGAAAATTTATCAGGATTTTATTGTACTTTTCAACTACAACACTTGTTGTACAAAGTAAAATGGAACCGGCATGACGAGTGCTGAGGAGTCCAGACCTCGTTGTGGTTTGTACAATCCTCGTTGTACTTCATGCAATCCCTGTTGTACTCTTGTTGTACAGTTTTTGCTGTACTTTTGCTGTACTATCCACGCTTTTTCTAGCGGTGTAGATGAAGTAGGGCAGGCTTGTGCAAAAAGTAAAAGACATTAACCAAATTTCTTGTCTTGAGCAAAGCCTTAACCAATCAACACTCTTGAAATCCACGATCTTATAATATCCTGCCCGCCATTACATCAGCAGAAAGGAAAGTTAAATTTAGTGTACCCAGGGAAAAGCCCACGACTCATTCCTAACAATATATATTAACTGACCCACCTCAATTCAGAGGCTGCGGCCACGGCCTCTGCACCCACCTGTTGGTGCCACTCTGTGCCCGTCCCCTGATGGTCCTGGTGTCCTAAAGCATCAGTTGACGCAGCACAGTTCACGGTTCACGAGCTCGTCAATGTTTATATTAACTTTCTGAGAACGGGCATGAATCGGATTGATGGACAGATAGGCCATTCTACGGAGATGTGACTACGCAGTCGCGGGACCTAATCTTTGCAAACCACTTTGCGGGCTTCACAGGTGTTATTCAGCGGCATGTTGCAACAGAGGGCAGAACAATGGCGCAAATTTGACACCTCCGACATCTCCTGAGGGAACCATCTTACTTGCACTCTGACCCGCACCCCTGTGAAATGCTATGATGTCAGAGGATTCGCTGGTTAAATGCAGGACGTCTTCATGCTCAGCGCCCTGGAGAACTTAGCATAACGGTGACCCAGGGTAAAATATTCTGGCCGAGGGTCATCCTACTGGAAGTTAACCTGGGTCAGAAGTCAAAACGGTTTCCATTTTCGTCGTAAGCATCCCCGAAAAACTATGAAATATGGTGTTCAAAGCCAAACCATCGAAAAGTCCATTCTTTTTCTGGCGTATTTAAGTATTTTTTGTTAAATACTGTTGATAGAAGATAACTTGTAATTTTATGTATCTGGTGTGAAAAGAATTTTATGTATCTGGTGTAAAAAGAATTACTTCAACTTAACCTCCCCTTCATTTTAACAACTTAAATGAAAAAAAGAGTTAAGTCCAAACATTACACCAGCGTAACAAACACTTTATGCTGACTATAGTTCCGCTTGACATTTCTCAAAATTTCACTGTTTTCTATTTTGACGAAAAGTAACAGTAATCCTCTTCGGAGTGACCTGACACCACTGAAAATCTACCGGCGTGACTTCGTGCCGCTGCAGGGGCGTGAATTAAGTGTCACGCAGAAAAACGGCATGACAAAAAAGTCATGCCGAAAATCGGCGTGACTTAGAATTCACGCCAAGTTTTAGCGTGAATTTCCAGTCTCGCCGGTTTTTGGCATGACTATTCTCATAAAACGCGTTCTTGTGCACCATTCCTTACAGTGCATTCCTGCCAGATGACGGTGTGACGCACATGTCATGCCGTTTTACGGCGTGAATTTCCTGTCACGCCAATTTTTGGCGTGACTTTTTGTCGCGCCACAATTTGGCCACGTGTCCGACCATTCTATTTGCAGTGACTTCTGTTGTTTATCTCAAAATTAAACTTGCTTCTTGAACTTGTTATCATCTGTAACATTCATTTGTTTAGTTTCAGTGTCCCAAGTCAACAGTTTTTTGTTGCTCCTGTAAAATGGCCTTAATGGAGTAGAGTAACCCCCCTCTTCCACTTCCTGGATGATATTATTGAGCGCCTTGTTACTTCTTTCCTGCTTATAAGTCAAGTTACAGCAAAATATTTTGTGCATAAATGGCCTCCCCAATCAGAGCTTCATTGCGGCAGTAAAATCAACACGAGAGTTAACAGTCAGTCCATCAGGCGCGTAATAGAGTACTCCAAGGAAGCTCTGGCCCGGAAGAAGAAGAACAAAAACGGAAGTAAGAAATTGCAGTTTCTATGAGAAATATACGCTGCGCATGAGGGTCCGCAGCGTATATTTCTCATAGAAACTGCAATTTCTTACTTCCGTTTTTGTTCTTCTTCTTCCGGGCCAGAGCTTCTTTGGAGTACTCTATTAAAGGCGGTCCCCGAAGGGCACCAAAATTTCGGCTTTTACGCGGATTGTTTCTTAGTATTGATGCGTAGACGTTGTTAATTTAATTAGTGAAACTTTTAAAATATGAGTACTGTGTAATTGAGGTAATATTTACCGTATCGTAAGCCAGGGTAATACGAGACAATTTCGGGACAATATGAGACGGAGTTTGGTTCACGTAAGATTCACTCTTAGCCCGCTATTCGGCCACAAAGAGAGCCACTGCTGTAAAAAAATAATTACTCAAGATGATGCCATTTGTCGCCGTGAAGTTTGACAGGGATGAGTCATCAAATGCCACGAGCATTATAATTCTAACGATAAACATGATGCGTCTCATATTACCCCGGCTTACGGTATGCCAACCCCAGGCGACTCCAATGGCAGCACCCGGACCCTAGAGCGGTGCGGCTTCCCGTACTGCCACCTTCACAGAAGGCGCATAGCTACCTCTTTGGGACGTCCAGATTAAGCATTAAATCGTGTTTTTGAGCTCGCAAACAATTTTAACCATTCAAAAGAACAAGTCACTTGCAGGTCATGCCGGATTTAATGTCTTCATAGAAACACAACTTTTTTAATTTCGTCCCGTATTTTGATGCGCCGAGCCGGGAAGGTTGGTATCAACTGCAGGAAAACGACTCCATGAGACAGGTGAACTCTGCTGGGTATCCAGCAGCCACCGTGGCGAAGTGGTAGAGAGCTTGCCTCCCGAAGCGGAGGTCCCGGGTTCGATCCCGGGCGGAAAGTGGGGTGATAGAATCTGGATATAAAGTGTCCCCCAATGTTTATTTACCTTCTGATCGGGAGTGCGGGAAATTTGGTTTTCTGCTGAGGGAAATTTCTCGTGGTATGTTTCCTGTATCGGAAGCCGCGTCTGACGTCACAGAAATTTAAGGAACAGAGGCAAAGCATTGAGTCGCCTGGGGTTGCGGTATGCAACCCGTAACGCATCACCCATGTCTTTACGATAGGCTACCTGAGAAAATCAGGAACCGCTCATGTCATGCATAGTTTTCGTACCTTTACTTACTTCTACACAGCAAAAACTCTACGAAGAAAATGAAGGCATTGTAAAATCTACGAAGAAATGCTTCGTATTTTGAAGCAAAATCCTTCGTAATACGAAGCATTTCTCCATAATACGAAGCAATTCTACAACGCCTTCATTTTCTTTGTAGTTATGAAGTAAATGCTTCGTACACTGAGAATGAATTGGCCACCACAATCACCCTTTAAATGGGCGATGTAACTTCGTTGCCCAAATTTTGGTGACGAAAAATTCACCACCCGAAATTTGGTAACAGGCGTTTGGTCGCCCAAATTTGGGTAACGCCGTCGGCGACGCCGTGAGGTTCCCGATGACGTCCTTCCGGGGCCACCACGATGACCGGAGGCCTCAACGCCCCATTAGGTCATCGTGGTGGCCCCGGAAGTACGTCATCGGGGACCTCACGGCGTCGCCGACGACGTTACCCAAATTTTGGTGACGATTTTGTGACTGCCCAAAATTTGGTCACCGCGGGCTCGTCACCCAAATTTGGGCAACGGTGCGTGCGTTACCCAAAGAAAGGGCGATGGTGGTGATTCTTTCATTCTTAGTGTAGGCTTTTAAGAGTGTATTGCAAACTCAATTAAAACTCGTTCAGAGCAAATTGCGTCCGACTCCATCGCGGAAGCCCAGCGTCAGGGCTTTCGAGGAGCGGTGCAGATAAGGTGGAGAGCCAAGTCCAGAACACTCGACATCCCCTTAAAAGGCAGCTGCCAAAGGTCCGGGCCACAGTCTCACCTGCCGAGCCGCGTCAAAGTTCAGTCATGGCCGCCAAGTACACCGTGTTCGCCCTGGCCCTTGCTGCCTGTCTCGCCGTAAGTTTGGCACCGTGAAACCACACTGGAAATTGGATGGAAAGACTTCGTGCCAAAATACGGCGAGACTTTAAAGTCTCGCCAAGTTCTGGTCAGACCTGAAAGTCTCGCCAAAATTTGGTCAGACAAAAAAGTCTTATCACAAAATGGTCAGACACAAAAGTCTGACCGCAAAATGCCGAGACTTTAGTGTCTGTCCACGGCCTATAGGCCGTAATTGTCCGGCGCATTACGACCCTTGGGTGGCGGTCAGACACAAAAGTCTCGCCATTTTGTGGTCAGACTTTTGTGTCTGACCATTTTGTGGCAAGACTTTTTTGTCTGACCAAATTTTGGCGAGACTTTCAGGTCTGACCATAACTTGGCAAGACTTTATGTCTCGCCTCTGGAGTGGCGAGAAGTCTGACCTTTGGACTAGTGCAAGTTTAGGGAACTCTGCTCTTCCAAGTGAAAGAGTTGCTCCGCACCAAGAAGTCAGACTTCTAAAGTCAGAATTTAAAAGAAAAACGATATTTTTGGTAACATTTGAATTATGATCAGGTGCACGGTAGAATCGGTTCCTGGTTTTGGCCAGGAAGTCTATGGAAGAGACAGGCGATTTCCAGGGTGCTCCTGCCTGGGGTAACGAAGAACCGATTTTACCGTGTGGTGGATGCTTTCGAAGCAACGAGACGATTTGGTTAAACCGTGGCTTCCAATAATTGACATCTCTGATTTGATCCGCAGATGGCCGCTGCCCTCTGCGACGAAAGGGCTATGGACAACCTCGAAAAGCAGATCGAGATCTGCGCCAGGAACGTTCCAGCCCAGATGTACTCAGACCCAACTTGGCAATGTGCCCGGTATGTCTCTGGGAAGCTGAACAAGAAGGGCACCAGATGCAGCATCAGCGAGGCTCCCAAGTTCCTGGAGAACTGCTTGTACGGCTACGGCAGCGAGGAGGAAATCACGCCTGCTGTGGACTGCCTCAAGAACGCCATCAGTGCCAAAATCTGCTGTTAAGGGGCAGTGAATGCTTGCCCGCAGCGAACAAAATACCTGGGAGTATTTGAAAAATTCGATGCAATAAATCTGCACTTACCCGGTTCAGTATTCAGGAAATCCTTCGTCCTTTCAATGAGTCCCATTTTAAGAAACGTGTTATTGAGAATAAGATAAAATGTTTAGAGGAGCCGAGAGGAGCTCGGGGGAGGGAGTCACCCAAATTTGAGTGGGATAGACCTTAGTGAACATCGCAGCAGCTTCGATTTTCAAATAACCACTGTACCTTCGACCTGCTGACGCAGCGTCACTACACTGTTATTCAGAGGTGCTCTGAAAGTTGCCGTCTTTTGACGCTTGCCTTAGATTTTGTAGCGCCTTGAGGCGCCTAAGGCGGTAAGTTTCAAAACACTTTTGGCAGCCCACTGGATTAAACAACGCTCGAGCTGTTCCCCAGGTCAAAGGTGTTTGGGGTCCAAGCACAGGCAAGCGTCAAAAGACGCCAACTTTCAGAGGCCCCCTGACAGTGAATGACAGTGTAGGCATGTGTTAGAAAAGCGCTAATTCGATGAATAACTCATCTTTCTACGCTCTTTAAGTTGTAGCTGAAGTTCCAAATAATCAAGAAGTTTTGCAGCTGACGGATTGAAACGATTCCAAGTAAAGAGTATGTCAACACAGAAGCCGTAAGAAATTATGAGCTGAATGTCATTGTAGGCATTGTGAGAGAAATATCGTTCACCATAATATGCAGGGAGCCTTGCACACGGTATTAGGTTTGCACATCGGGAAGAAACGTGCGACCAGACAAATTTTAGAAGTACAAGTTGATCAATGGCACGCAAAATTTCACAGTACGGAACACCTTCGCAGGAGTCTCGCGTGCCTGCTTAACAGATGTGCTACCGCTTGGACAATTAATCCTGCAAGAATCATCCACGTTAGTTTATGATCTTTGTGTCAACGCGGAACATTCATAGATGAACACTAATACGAAGAAGTCCAAGAATCCATTCATACAAAACCAAAATGCGAGAACCTTTCGCAAGTCATAGAGTGCGATGAGGATTAACCGTAGATAATATCAAAAGCTTCTGGACTGGACTAGTCATGCTCCATTGTACTTTGAGCAATACATGATCCAGGAAGCGGAAGAAGGGGGTAACTCCATTTTGACAATTTATCAGGAGAAATAAAACACCGTTATTAGGGAAAACTAGAACTAAATAAAAGAAATATTATAGCTGATAACAAGTTCAAGAAGCATAAGTTAAATTTTCATATGAACATCACGAGTGTCAGGTCACTGCGTAAACGATTTGTGTGACTTATCACTTTCCCCTGAAATGGAAACCGCAGTAAGTCCTCGAATGTCGATGTGAGGACTGACTTTATCGTTAAGCCGCAACGCTGCTTACTGCTGTCACGACAGGAAGTTAGATCCCCGTTTTAAGTGACAAGAGATGAATGACACTGCTTGAAATAAAGTGGAGCGGTGAAAAAATTAGACCACTGTGTGACGAGCACGCCGATTTAATCTGGGAAAGCTATCTGTGCTTGTTGCCATTGTCACACAAGGACACGGCGACATTTTATCTCGGTCATCGCTTCTACTTTTTCATTGCGCCTCCATGCTCCTGTGTTAAAACTAAGCCTGTCTGCCTCATCCAGCCTGGCGAGTCCACACCGCCAGCGCGGCACCTGCGCCGCTCGGTAAAACCATCTCCTGCCACTCTCATTCCGGAAACGTGGCATCGCGTCGAAACGAATGTGTCAATATGCCACATTCTTTTGAGCATTGGGTCACATTCCTTTGAATGCGAAGAAGCTAATTTATGGCTGATTCACATCCAACGGAATGTGACGCAGTGCTCAAAGGAAAGGTGACATTTTGCCACATTCGTTTTAGTATGATATTACGTTCCTGGAATGAGTGCAGGCTATAGCCGTTTATCGTTTAGAGATAAATGCTTCGTTTCCTGAAAGTATCAACACTATACGTGACTGGCTCGGAAAAACGCACCGTAAACTGGGGTAACATGAGACACTCGATTCCACTCTAATTGTAGTTGCATTTGATTATTTATTCCTGTTTCATTACATGTTTAAGGGGGGACCCTGGTGAAAAAATGACCAAAATTGCCAAAAATAGTATTTTCAAAGTTCATAGATAAAAATGTGCATAGAAGGTTTCAGATTCAACAGGTTGAACACCTTTAAACTATGTGGGTAGTTCCTTCATCATTTGGAAAGAAATAACATTGAGATCAGTTGTCGTTGGCTTATACGCTCAACTTCACAGCTTTGCTCAGTCGACAAAAAATTTTGTCGTAGAAAGACTTCCTGCGTTCCTGGTTGACACCTACATGAATCGTCTTGCATGGACTCTATTCATTGATGACTTATCGACAAATTTTAGTGACGGAATCTTGATATCAGCCCTACTTTTTTTAACACACACCTAAAAGTTTCAAAAAAAGCAAAAAATGCACTTTTTTTAAATGTTTAAATTTGAAAGTTGATATCTCAGGACAGAAGATGAAATTGAAAATTCCGTCACTAAAATCTCTTCTATACATCTTAAGGATAACCCAAAAAAATTTTCAAGACTTTCCGTTCCAATGAAAGACGCAGGAAGATTTTTCCCCAACGCTCTAAAAAACACTAAAAAGCCACTTTTCTCAGAGACCGTTCAACATTTTTGGATTGAATTTTGTTTTATGAACTCACCATAATGAACCTAATAATCAAGCAAAGTTTCAACTTTCTGGGATTATTTTAAAGCCTACTTGAAAGTTTCACCAGGGTCCCCCCTTAAAAGTAATATCAACCAAAAAACATTGCTTTTTTGTGCACAGTAAATTGAAATGGCAGAATCTGTAGTGGTCTGAGAGCCCCAAATCGCAGAAACTGACAGGTAAATAGATCCGGGGCGGCTTTGCACCAAAACCGCCAACGGCAAACCCATTCTGCACACAGGCGACGGAATCCGTGCACTCGCCACGGAATCCGGAAAACACTGCACCGTAATCGTCAATTGCGATTCCCTCCACCTCGCGACTTTGAGATGTTATATTATTGGAAATAAAGAGTGTAGATGTACCGCGTAAGGAAAATATTAATTTATAGACTTGTCAAAGCAAGAAAAAGTATGCACACTCATCAAAATATGTAAATAATGTCCAAAACAACAAAAGCATTCAGAGACACAGTGAGGTTAGGTTGGCCAGCGAGACCGCAACCCCTTAGCAGTTTCTGTGAGCCCATCCCAGTTTCTGTGGAGCCTTTGTCAGTTTCTGTTAGCCCATGCCGGTTTCTGTGACTATCAATTTCAGAATCATTTACTGGCGGTTTCTGTGCCGAACCGTTACGGATTTTGCCATTTCAATTTACTTTGTGATAGCTTTCTTCGTGACCAAACACGTTGTTGTAAGTGTGTCTCAACTTACCCCAGTTTACGGCAATACGATAAAAACTCAATTTGGAGATAAGTCGATTTATTCCCTTCTTCCGCTTCAAGGGCGGATCCAGGGGGGGAGGGGGGAGGCGATGTCGCAAAGGTTGCCAACCTATAGGGGCAAAGTGCGACTAGTTGCTAATAGCGAACCTTTCAGTCCAAGACCAAAATTAAATTGTATAAGGAGAAAAATTTGATCTGAAGTGCCAACAGATTTAAATTTGAATGTTTCTGTCTGCTAAGACTTTCCATAAATCAATCCACTGCGGTTGAAGCCGGCCAACTAATGCTCCGCTTCCCGGCTGAGTCTAATGAACCGTGGTGGCCAAGACCGAGCGGGGAGCATCGGAAATGAATGGGAATAAAACAAGACGCCTCGGTTGACACTACTATTTCTTTGTACATTTATGAAGTGTTTTCATACGACGAACCATCGACTACTGACAAAGAATATTCGTGGACTTACGATTGTTGTGAATTACCGACAGTCCATGTGATAACTTCTTTAGGAATTTAAGAAGGTGCTCTCGGCAACATTTTTGCCAAATTTTTTGAAAATCCTAAAGTTATGTTTTTCCAGAGTGGCTCTCCTTCTGCGGTTCGAATGTCCTCACAAGTGAGAGTGAAACTGTGCCACAAGAGTGTGGTCTGATCTATTACGAACTTTTATGAATGCCGTTATGCAGAGCGTTCTGAAGCTCACGAGCCGTGCTGGAATATGGGGACTTCCTTCAAAATGTCTCAACTGCTCAGAAACAAGATCAGGCACCAGGTATAAATGGTATAGAATAATTCGAAAAACTCCGTTCTCTGTCTCTTTTAAATAAGGTAGAGAGGAGTGAGTGTCGCGACTTATTTCAGCTCATTCACTTGGTATTTAAATCCACACCCGTGGGCAAGAACCTTGGCAGGGGGCGACAAAGGCGTGGAGCGCGTGAAGCCATGCTCGAGCGAGGTGCAGGGGTTGCGGACTTTTCTTCGATTGTGAAATCTAGGCCGCTGTTTGCAAAGCGCTTTGCACAGATCAAAAGAGCACAAAATTTGGGGTGCATTAGGCCTAGTAGAACGCCCGATATCACTGTACAAAACATTGTCCGGTCAATGCTGTTAATTTATTACCAATGTTTGCTGTTATGCAATTCACGGCGTTTGCTGTGAAGTAGTTCACGGCGTTCACTGTGATCTCGGTCACAGTGCTCACTGTGATCTGGCCACAGTAAACGCCGTGAATTAGAGCCTGATTTGCAGTACTTCGGTGCTCAGCGGCGTCAAACTCACAGTGTTTACTGTGGACCAGATCACAGTAAACACCGCGAACAAGATCACAGTGAATCGCGTGAGCAGATCGCAGTAAACGCTGTGAATTGACCTACAGTGAAAACTGGTAATAAATTAACGGGACAGGGCATTTTTTTACAGTGCAGGGTGACTGCCTCAAACCAGACACTGCCTGCATTTGAGGTTTGCACGTGGAGTCCTGTGTTTGTTGTAGTGGCTTAGGGTAAAGTGCCGAACATGGATCGGGGTACCAAACATGGATCATTTCTGTTTGGGGGCCTATATCTAAAGACCAGGTGACCAGATTCTAAATTTCTGTCTTTCCTTGCTTAGACTGACCCTTTGACCTAAAACAGGCCCCCAAAAATCGATGGAAAAATGACGTTCAAAAAGGTGATTTTTGCACCCCCGATTCTGGGCCAAGCAATCACCGCAGTCACTTCAAAATTTTTCATCGTGCACTTGAGACGGACTATCCCTCGTAAAACGAACAAATTAAAACTTGTATATTTTTTATTAGTTTTTTAGTAAATTTGGTTAAATTTTAAAAATTGAATTAAATTTGATTAAACTTAAGTATTTTTAAAAAAAATTCATTTGCAAAACTAGAATTTGTTAATCTTTGTAAGCTGCATTTATTCAATTTAATTTAAGATTTAATCAAAGCAGCTTATAAAGATTAACCAATTTTAGTTTTGCAAATGAAAATTAATTAAAAATACTTAAGTTTAGTCAAATTTAATTCAATTTTTAAAATTTAACAAAATTTACTAAAAAACTAATAAAAACTATACAAGTTTTAATTTGTTCGTTTTACGAGGGTACTTTGATATTTTGGGACTACTGAATGCATACCTTGCTTTGTGTCCAAACGCTGGTGGGGTGATCCATGATTGGACCACCCTAACCTAACCTTAGCAAAAATAGCCATATTTTCTTGTCCTCACAACTTCCAAAGTATTCGAGTTAGAGGTACCATTTTTGGTAGCCATATGACCAGTGAGGTAAACATCAACATAGTAGTTAACCCATACTTAACTTCGATATAGAGAAGATTATTTTAAAAGTGATCCATGTTTGGTAACCTTACCCTACTCGAACGCGACAGGTCTGCTGAGGCCTGACAGCGCTGATGGTGATGCACCTTTGCCCGCTAGGTACGCGTAAGGCGCATCGGGCCGTCGCTGCTCCTCCCCATCGTCGTGTGGTCAGTCCTGTTGCTGCCATTGGACCATGTTCAGAGCAAAGCTATCAAAACGTTTGCAGTACGTATCGGCTTGGCTCGAGGGGGTGTGCACTCGCGTAATAGTCGGTTCACTCTGTAATAGCACGCGTAATAGTATGCGTAATAGCAGCGTAATAGCCGAAAATCTCAAATTTTTACACTGTTAAAAAAAAGGCGAAATTTTCAGACTTTCCAGGATGAAGTCAATTTTGAAAACCCGGGGTGTTTTGGTGTGATATTAGATAAATCCCAATTATTTTGAGGCGTAATTGAGCGTAATAGCATATTAGTCGGGTCACAGGTTTTGAGAGTGCATACCCCCTCGGCTTGGCCCTTTCCCCACTGGGTCATTCTATCCGACAACACCTGACACAGAAGCGAACCCAGAGGGATGGTCACGCAGCCCATCGGGAACCTTGTCCTATTGCCTAATAAAAATTCAATCAAAAAAGGGAAAAAATTCTTACAAAATGACACTAAAACCAGGATTCGCCGTCATCATATTTCGAAAGGAAAACAACATTCTTTGCCCCCTCTAACGCAACACTGAAAACACGCTTAATACCGCGTAATATCCGTTTACTCGTCAGACGCAATGCCTTGAGTCTCAATCCAGTTTATGACAAAATGTTTTTGAACTGCATAAAAGAATTTACGAGGAAACCTATGGCAATAAATAATGTTGACGATGGCACCTTCGTACATTGACGAATATTCTTGAAAACTTCAGAAGATTCTCGGTGGTTTACGAAGATTCTTCTGACACGAACGTACGTACGTTCACCGCAGATTCACGGAAATTTTTCGAAGTCGCCCGTGAGTTCTCTGTTTTTAACGAATAATTTTCGTGAATTATAAAAGGAATCATTGCCCACATTTTGCTTGTGGTGCCTCTTTCAGTTCCCAATTTTTCCCTAACAGTGTGAGAAAACAAATACCAAAGTGGCTCTGAGGGACCTTTTGAAAAAGGGAAATAAAATGCAGATTTACAACCGACGGTGCTGCCGGACTCCCGGTAGTTTTCAGGCACGAAGTGGCCTCATTGTATCCCCAGGATAGCCTGGCCGAAATTCAACTTGTGTGACCCTCAACTCGAAAATTTTCTGTTGTTGAGACTTTTCAAAGTGGTATAACTCTGAACGGTGACTTTAATGTTGAAATGTGGTTAAAAAGTCGGCGCGTCTGAGTAGAGTAATATTATTATATCATAACTGTGAGAGAAGATCCAAAACAATCCTAACAGTTAGTGCCAATTCAGAACTATCCAAGCTGCACATGACGTGCAAAGCGGTCTTTTCTCGAAGTCCGTGACACCAACATGTACTTCATAAAATTACTCGCTGAAGGGCTTGTTACAAAGTTTCATTCTTACATAGATACACACTAAATGTTTAGGTAGAATTTTGTACGTGCCACTTGCACGATTTTGTGCATGCGGGGAATTTGCATAATATTATGCGTGAAAATGCATAAATTAATGCAAATTTACGCACAATTTTATGCACGACGGCACACAAGTTTAAAATTGTGCATCACCACGTACAAAATTGTACATAAACGTTTAGTGTGTACGTGGACATTGTATTTCAGAGATATCGAGATTCACTGACTTGCAGTGAAGATAGTTCATGAACGCTTTTAGATGCCTCTGCAGTTAGGATAGTTCTAAATCTGCCCTGATAGGATGGTCTTGGATCTGCTCTGGCAGTTAGGATTGTCTTGGATCTCCTCTGAGAGTCAAGATTATCCCGGATTATCCTATTAGGACGCGTTGAAGTGTCTTGTGCGTTTTGAGAAATTTATGCCATCAAAATCACTGTTTCTATGGCAAAGCTCGTCTCGTCAACGAAAAATAGAGGGAGAGGGGAGCCGGCCGAGCCGAACCCGACCAATAGCAGAGCTCCTTTTCGCCTCTGTACAGTTTATCCCAAATACGCTGGCCCCCCTGAAAAAAACGCATTCAAATCGAAATTATCTTTCACTGCAGCTAGAGGAGATCCAGGAATAGCATTAACGTTGTTTTTGAACCTGGCCATTTGGATCGGCCGGCTGGCCAGTGATTGTTGATGATAGTGTCCCGCAACGCTGAGTTGTTTTTGCTGTTTTCTTTTCGGAAATGCCAACTTCAAATTTTCGTTACTCTTCAAATCGAAGCGAATTGAGACATTAAAATGCGGAACTGTACACATGCATCTACGAATTATCGTTCCTTAATGCAGTTTGAGAATCACTTTAAGTTTCTTTTCGAAAAAAACTGGTCATTTACCTGCTCCTCTTTGCGAGGTTTGAACACTAAATGTTATGTACAATTTTGTACGAGACATCACAAGTTTTTGTGCACACGAACTTTTTGTACACTTTTCGCACGAAAAACTGCACATTTTTCGCTAGTTTTGTACAGATATGTAAGAAAAGTTCGCGTGCACAAAAAACTGTGATGTCACTGTAAATACAAAGGCAATACTTTTAGTACCTTTTTTGGTGATACAATTGAGTATCGCCATCGCCAACCAACGGCCTTACGGAAAAGTATTGCCTTTAGAACGGCGATACACAAAAGTATCGCAATAATTTGGCGATACTTTGGAGTACTGCCACGACTTGGCAATAAACGTTGAACAAACCAAGGGGACGAGTTCTTAGTTTAATGCCGTGGTTTTGGCAGTACCCAAAAGTATCGCCAAATTTTGGCGATACTTCTGTGTATGGCCGTTCTGGAGGCAATACTTTTCCATACGGCCGTTTATTGGCGATACTCAATTTCACCAAAAAATGTACTTGAGTATCGCCTTAGCATTTTGAGTGGTCTCGTACAAAATTTGTACAATTAGGGACTTAATATATTTTAAGATTGTCTTTAATGTGTTATAGAAAAAAAAAAGGATACGCAGCTGGTCCTCTTTTTAAGTTTTAGCTTTACGGATTGTTGGACACGGCACCAAACTCGAAATAAACGCCACTTAGCGCAGTTCTAGCCTCAGGATTTGTGTTGAACGAGAACATAAATGAAATTATCCTGGTGACTACTAGGATTTCGTGAAATCGTGTTGGTTTTTTAACTGGATGGATGGACTGGATGGAGCCTGTAACAAATTCTAGGACGAACCATGTTGCGAATGGTTTTAATACTGATGAGTTGTAGCAGTGAAGCGATTTTTTGTCCTTCAGGGCCCCTACATCGCGTTTGGACACACATTCGACGTATGTCCATCTGAGAACCTCCATGTGCTGAACATTCGTGCCTCACACTTCAATCCCTTCAGGCCATTTGAGCTGCAGGTTTTAGTAGGAAATGCTACATTTAGAGAGGACATGATGGACAACTTTTGGGTAAAATATCAATCGCTCTACAAACTGAAGAGTGTGCTAAGCATGTTTCTTGAAGCATGCCTGCAAGTACTGCACCTGGAGCCAACCAGACATTTATACTCCACCTGGTCCTTCGCTTACAGTAGCTGCTTACTCGAACGCTAGAGGTCTGCTGAGGCAACAGCGCTGATGATGATGATGATGATGATGATGATGATGATGATGATGATGATGATGATGATGGAGTCAACTTGGCATGTAAACTCCACGCTGGAGCATGCTTGCCAAGTGCACGCCAGATGGCGCACCTGCAAGTACGCTGTTGCTCTGTGTTGAATGCACATGGGACTTCAGCAGCTGTGTACTTGCCAGGTATGCGACCCCCGGGCGTGTATGGCAAGCACGCTCCAAAGTGGATTGTACATGCGAGGTTGACTCCGGGTGGAGTGTACTTGTAGGCATGCTTCAATCTGACAGTGCTAATAGAATGGAAGATTTCGCGCCAAAATGAGCTTGCAAAATCTCAGTCGGATCGGCTGAACTGATCGGGCACACGAACACAGAGAAAGTTTTTAGCCCCTTTTGTGTACCGTAAAAGCAATGGATCACCAGCACTCTACAAATCAAAGAGTGTACATGGTACGCTCTAACTGGAGCATGCCTGCAAGCACGCTCTAACTAGCGCATGCCTGCCAAGCATGCACTAAAGTGCATACATGCCATGTACACGCTAACTGAAGCATACATTTACTTCATAAGCACTGTTAAAAAAATCCATCTTAATTTTAAGAAACTTTTTTATGAAGCAGTTTACAAAGACTTTTTGGTAGTAAAAGTAATAAACTTTTTCTTCTTAAAAGTAAGAACCAAATATGAAAAGTAATAATCTGTTTCTTAAAAGTTGTTTTTGCATTTAAGAAGAATTTAACACAGAGTAGGGAAAAATTTAACGCCTTATGTACGTAATGAGATACTCATTGTATGGTAGTAGTCGATTTCACTGCCGAAGTTGCTTGGAAGCGTGGTTGAAACTCGGTCTCGAACCCGGAATTCCGGATTACCGCACCGCGACGCTACCAACTGCGCCACGAGTGAGCTCTGCGAGGCGGGCTCTAGGATGTGGATGACTCCAAGCCTCTCGGCGGAGACTCCACTAGGCAGCGGAAGCGCTCATCCCAGGGCCTCCAAACACGACTTCACATGACCAAGATCATCCAAATTTGTTCTTTACGTACACTGGTAGTGAAGCGTCCAATGATCACAATTTTAACTGGCAGGATGAGAATCAAATATGAAAAGTTATAGTAATTTTGAATTTTAAGAAACAAATAATGGCATTTGGCAAACAATCTTAAATTTTATGAACCTGTTTTTCAATTTTAATAAAGTTTCTGAAAGTTACCAATATTTTCATAACTTGTCAGAAATGTTTTGGTAAATGTAAGAAATTTTCTTAAACTTCACAAACCTTTATGAGTTTTCATATCCTTTCAAAAGGTTATTAAAATTAAGATGTCATTTTGTATTAAATTTAAGAATTTTTTTAACAGTGAGGGATAGGGAGCTTTCTGCATCAGGAAGCGTGTACATGGCATGTATGCACTAGTTAGTGCATGCTTGGTAGGCATGCGCTAGCTAGAGCGTGCTTGCAGGCATGCTCCAGTTAGAGCATACTATGTACACTCTTTGATTTGAAGAGCACCAGTGGGTATTGTCGACCTCCCCTGAAATTCTTCTCTGTGACCGGTTCGATCCAAAGTACATACAAGTTCGGATGCTAATGGTGGAAACAGTGAGGAATTTCGGGGGTGGTCCACATTACCCGCTTACAGTAACTGGCTGAAGGATAGCACATACTGCATGAGATAGTCAGTTTTAAAGTATTTTTATGCAGTATGTATTATTCTTGTTCACAAAGTTAAAACTCATGAAAGAGATAGGTTTCGATTCTTTTTTCTTCCGCTTCGTGAATCATCTGTTGTCACGTGTCCAACAGTCTGCTGTAAATGTTTCAGTCCCAAGTTCACATGGCCGTCCGATCAAACAACCAATGGAAAGAAAATGCTTTCGTTTTCAATTTCCCCAACGTGGGCTGCTCTGCGATTCGTGACCACGTGCCCGACCTGTACCGCATGCTGGCCAAGCAGAGCGGAGCCTCCATGGACAAGACAGTACCCTGTCGGCTCCCAGCGGTGCGTGCCAAGGGTCAAGTTTCCCTCAATTTGGACCAGGCCCCCAAACTGGAATGGCCAAAACCATTCTTTTTTTGGGAAAAGTGGGAGGGCGCGTTTTGTGTCATTTTCTAATGAGTAGTCTTCATCAGGTATAAGGTCCCATCAGGTAGAATCTCATCAAGCATAATTCTCATCAGACATAACGCATAAATAATTCTCCTCAGGTATAATTCTTAACAGATATAACCGATATTATATAATAAATACAGGCGTAGCATAAGATATAATTCTCTTCACATATAATTCCCATCAGGAATAATGTCACCAAATATAATTCCCGTCAAATATAATTCCCATCAGGCATAATACACAATTTTACCAGCTGCAGTATGGATCTTCATCGACGGTACATTTTAAAGTCTACAAGGCTTTCTTGTGTGCTTTGCGGTGATTACGGTATCACTGGTAGCCAACGAATGTGACGTCATATTCGTTCGAATGCGAATTTTGTCACGTTCGTTTGAATATGATGTCACATTCGTTTGAATGTTGATCCACGTTCAAACGAATGTGACAACCTACTTCGAGGGGTCCTATTCAAAGAATCTTATCTGGGGGTTCCCCCCAAGACAATCTTATCTTAAACGCAGGCGAATTTCACTCATTTTGACCACTTGTGACGGATACGAGAGGAAGCGGAATATACTTCTACACGCACTTTCGGTTTCTTTGATCATTCATCTTCACATTTCAGTGAATCAAATCAGAAATTATTTTGATTTGTAGCTGTATTAAGGGGGCTCATACATGTTAAACACACTTTATAAAAAAATTTTTTTTGATGTAGATGGATTAAGATTTTACAATTTCTGTGTTAAAACCCTTTTAGATAATTGAGTAAGCTTCATTTTAGCTTAAAGGAAAGTGACTTTGGACATTTTTTGGAGATTTAGTCGAAACGTTTAAAATTTTGGTTCTCGTAAGATTTTGTTCGCATACTTGCTCAGATCTGTGGGGGAAAAATCAGGGAGACTCATCCCTAGTAGTGTCATAGAATTGACTACAATGGGCTTTATATCTGCAATAGTTTTCAAGAAAAAAAATAAAAACAATTTTTTGTTAAAAAATTTGTTCAAAAAATTGTTAAAAAAATTGTTTTTATTTTTTTTCTTGAAAACTATTGTAGATATAAAGCCCATTGTAGTCAATTCTATGACACTACTAGGGATGAGTCTCCCTGATTTTTTCCCCACAGATCTGAGCAAGTATGCGAACAAAATCTTACGAGAACCAAAATTTTAAACGTTTCGACTAAATCTCCAAAAAATGTCCAAAGTCACTTTCCTTTAAGCCAAAATGAAGCTTACTCAATTATCTAAAAGGGTTTTAACACAGAAATTGTAAAATCTTGATCCGTCTACATCAAAAGAAAATTTTTACTAAGTGCTTTTAACATGTATGAGCCCCCTTAAATGGTCAAACTGAGTGAAATTTGCCTGCGTTTAAGATAAGATTCTCTTGGGGGGAACGCGCAGATAAGATCTTTTGAATAGGACCCCTCGACTTGTGAGGATTCGGCCTTCACACTCAACATCTTATGATCGTTTCTTATACGTATTACGATGGTTTTTCATCGTAAGGTACGCATAAATTTGCACATACGTAATATGCTTAATTTTTCATCGTATTACGCATGAATTTCATCGTATTACGCATGAATTTCATCGTATTACGCATGAATTTCATTGTAGTACGTATGTTCTCATTTCAACGTATGTTACGATGGCCCTTTCATCATAAGAATCTGAGGGTGTTGTACGTTATAATTGTTGATTGGCTTGCCCTTTCGCTCTAAGATCTAGGGGGGAAACAACTCATATTCCAAGGTTCCTTTCTCGTTCTTATACTCGTTTTTTCCCTCGGCAGGGCGTCTGGCCTTTCAAGAATGAACCAGTGAACTGGTCGTTTCCCAACTTTCCTATCATGCCGTACGGACGCTACAAGTTTCGAGTGTCAGCCCGAAGCAACAGCAATAAAGACCTTCGTAGTCTGAGCGCCTGCTTGGAAGTTGACTGTGAGGTCATCCCGAGGCCGTCGTAAAACAGTGGTTCAAAAATGCCCTTCCATTCTCATTTTTCCTTTCGAAAAAAAATAATGTAACATTTACCGTTTTGACGTACAGTAAAAACGGTTCCTGGTTACCCAGAAACTCCTTGAAAATCGCCTATGTCTCTTCAGAGGCTTCCTGGAAAATCCAGGTACCGTTTTTACCGTGCGGTGGGTTTAAGTTGAACAGTATTTTGTAAAAGGCTTCACCTTCAGAGTTTCTTCTTCAAAAAACATAGATGATTTTGAGCATTAATAAGCGAATCAACAAATTTACTTGTTTTCAAATCATGTTTATCAATTTCGTCTTGATAAATCGGTTTAACTTCTTAACGGAATTCTATTATTGCGCATTAACGCCAATGAACATGCACAAAATACCGATTGAAGGATGAGAGAGTTCGAGGTGTGTGCGCAAATTCCGCAAAACCATGTGTGGCATTTACTCTCCAACTTGCGAGTAGAAATTATTTGCCCTTGAACGGCGAACTGTACTAATAAAAGTATCCACAAATGGAACTGCATTTGACTTCTTGTTGGCGCTAAGAAGCTCCGCCACCTGACGAACATTGTTAATCATTGTTAGTCCTGTATGTCGCCATGTCGGTGAAACTATAAAAGAGTTTAAGTTAACCTGTGTACAGATCCGCAGTGATCACAAATTGGTTACGTATACAAAGTACACGCTTAGGGGTTTAGTTCTACGTCGGCGAATGTTGGACCCTCCCCTGCGCTACAACCACGCGTCTGGTAGTGGCGAGGCCAGAGCAGATCGCGAGGAACCGACTTCATCGCTGATGCCAAGAACGTTACCCGTTTTCTACGACGTTCAGTTATTCATTCATTGCAGCCCTCGGAAGACAGACATTGTCAAGTAAGTATCACCGGTGATGAACTATCGGGTGCGAAAAGGCATCGCTAGGGGAACGACGATACCTGCCTGCGCCTCAGATTTGCACTGAGAAAACCTTACAAAATATTTTGGGCCTTACGAAGAAAAGTAGTTTGTATAACAAAGTATTTTGAGCATACGTATAAGCTTACAAAGAAAATACTTCGTAATTTACGAACTATTTCTTCGTATAACAAAGTATTTTAGTTTGTTATACGTATGCTCAAAATACTTCGTAAGGTTTTAAGAGTGTGGGTGATAAAATTATTCTCCAAAATTAGCACTCTCCGAGTCTCACAGACGTTAAGTAACGGTACTGACATTTTGTCGATATTATCTTTGGTAAATTTGTGCGTCGGTATTTAGAACTTTTCACTTTTCTACCTATTGTCTGCATTTTGGGTTAGTACTTGTTGGCGAAAAAGTTCCTACATAAGTTTATGCAGTAAATTGTTCGTGAACTGAATAAGAAACAATACTACCCGTGCTACATGACTACGAAGTTTTTAGTGCGTAAGCGCAAAGAGAGTATGCTAATTCGTGCGTTTCACGTACATGCTCAATTCTGTGCAAAACGTATTCAGTAAAAACGCAGCAATTTACTGTGAGCGTAACGTTGCGCTCACGCTTAAAACCCTGCAAAGTATTTTGAACATACATGATACAAACTAATTTACTTTGTCATACGAAGTAATAGCTCGTAAATTACAAAGTATTTTCTTTGAAAACTTATGTACGCTCAAAATACTTTGTTATAAAATTCTCCGTTTGCTTAGTAAGGTCTAAAATAGTTTGTAAGGTTTTCTCAGTGCTGACTCGGACCCAGGTCTCCCGCAGTGTTACGAAAGAAGGATACCCCCTCTCCCCTGTAAGTTTAACGCAACAGAGTACTTCGGAGAAATCCAGACCGGTGTCAACAACAGAACCCTACCCGGGTAGGAGCGGGTAGGAGCGACGTGTGTTTGGACTCAGGACGAGGTGTGTCTGGTCTGCGCAACGCTGTGGTATGTGGGGGTGCTGAGTCCGAGCCAGCGTAACATTCCGCTCGTTTCGCATCAACAACCCATCTGCGAACGAATTATTCGATATAGTGTCTTGATGTGTCAGGTCACGGCCTGCTTCCGCCCTCAAAGCAGCATCGGGTCTAAGATTCCGACAGGTCCTTTCGTGGGTAGCCATCGAGTCAACTGACTCAAAGCCCCTCAGTACAGCTCTACCAAGATCTCGGCGTAGTAGTAAGCAGTACGTACTAAAATTTGGCTTGCGTAATTCGCTAACCTGTGTCAAACGACTATTATATCAGCGCTTCGACAAAAGTCTTGATTCCGTACCTGTTCCTTCTACTTTCCTTCCCAAACGTGGCGTGTACTGACGTCCTGTCTAGTATTCTCGTAAATTCTCTGGTAGTGCTGCTGACAATAGTGCTGCTGGAGGGACAAGTATGTAAACAACTTACCCCCAAGTACGTTTCAACGCTGTAAGGGAACTTCTTACGTTTTGGGATTTACGTCTCATTTGACCGACGTTCTTTCTTGAGGGTGAACCATGATTTTTATGGTTCCTGACACTAGGTAGCACATGCAATAAGAGATCGAAAATTGATCATTCTGGTCGTATCATTCTCAGCCTTCGACACTGACTGTTTCTCATCAACAGACGCACTTCTTTAAATAGCCATAATTCTTAGAAATTTTTCCAAGGGTAACGTAGTAACTGCTTATTACAGCACTAATATTTTCTGTTTTTAAAGTAATCCCAAAGACATTTCTTAGTAGCTTAGTAGGAACTGCGAAGTATTATGATTGCTTTCAGAAATGTGTCTGCTACTGAAAAGTTGTCAGTTCCATCGCAGCCAAAACCCATTCCGGCAAATGAGCAAAGAGCAAAAGAAAGAACATCATCGACAGCCGGGAGGAAGGGGAATATGGAGTAATCCCTATGTAATAGGGAAATAAACTGAAAATGGCCGCGGAAAAAGACTCCGCAATGCTAGTATCCGAGTAGTTACACGTTTCCCAAACGTTACACGTGTGTTATTAAAGAAGCATTTGGAGCCAAGAAAAGAAGCCACTTGATGTGCCTAGCTCGAACTACAGCCATAAATGTAGGTCAACTTCAAGATCGAAATTTCACCCAAAGACATATTTTTAGGACCTTGTCAAACTCTTGGAAACGTGTATTCTGATAATCTTTGGTCGGTCGATGTTCATAGTTGTAATACGTTCCAAAGCGACAAATCATTTGCCTCATTTTGGCGCAAACAGGGTAGCAATTATCATTTCAGCAGACTAAGCTACTTCCACCACTTCGGTTTCTGATGCAACTTTGCTGTGCAACTGCTCCACTCCACGACGACCGACAAACTGGTTTTCTGAGAATAATGCTGAGCTTATTTGAAAAGCAATAACATTTTTATTGCGTTAGTAGCGCCATGAAAAAGGTTATTACAAGTGCAATAAATCGACGCGTCATTATAGAAAAATCCTAACTGCCAAAGTAGATCAAGACAATCCTAACTTTCAGTGCCAATTATTCAGAACTATCCTAACTGCACATGACGTGAAAAGCGGTCTTTTCTTTAAGTCCGTGACGCCAACAGACTTCATAAAATTACCCGTCGTGGAGCTTGTCAAGAAGTTCCATCCTTACAAAAGTACTTGGGTATTGCTTTACAGAGATATGGAGATTCACTGATTTGCATTGAAGATACTTCATAAACACTTTTAAGTACCTCTGCAATTAGGATTAGTTCTAAATCTGCACTGACAGTTAGGATTGTCTTGGATCTGCTCTGGCAATTAGGATTGTCTTGGATCTGCTCTGACAGTCAGTAGTATTGTTCTGTTAGGTCGCTTCGAAATGTTGTATTGCATTAGCGCATTTATCATTTTTAGCGTAGTTACCATTTTATCACATCAAAAATGTGATAATCTGGTCCCAGAGCGGCCAAGACCTACGGGACTTATTGCATTTCTAACGCAATAATTTTTTATTGCTGCTACAGATGCGATAATTTGAAGGAATCACATACGACTTTTTATCGCTGCAAATTGTATGAAACTTATCCTCGAACTTAACACATTAGAAAAATCAGTGGAGGACCGTTCTTTCTTGGCTTCGCTGATATCGTTCCACACTTGGGAATTCAAAGTTCAGAATAAACGTTAAAGTTGTAGGTAAACGAACGTCTCGATCTTCGCGGACCAGTGTCCTGGATGTCCGGATATAGCCAGTATTGACAGCCTTTTGTTCCGCAGCCTTCCCAGCCGTCTCGACATCGCCGCCCGCGCCATGCTGGCCGACCTGGAGGTGGACGCGGTGACAGTGCCGCTGTTCCAGCTGAGCCTCGCCACGCTGCCCGAGGACGAACTGCTGCGGGTGCTGGGCTTCCTCGGCACCAAGGAGCTGCTGCAGAGCCGCGCCGTGTGCCGCAGGCTGAGGGACTTGGCTCTGCACCCCAGCCTGTGGCGGAGCAGGAGCCTGGGGAGCCTGAACATGAACATGTGCGTATCAAGTGTTTAGTTCCAATATTTTAAAGTTCACTCTAAATGGGATTGCACTGATGTGTTTGTAAGATTATGCAAAGAATGTGACAGGTTGCAATCCCTTGTTCGCAACTTGGGAACAAGTGCTTCGTAATTTTGCTTACAACTTGTTTGATTGTGAATCCTAGCAAACTTATTGTCCGGAAAATTACGATAGTCACTCTTACACACTAAATCGTGCTACACTGGTGTTTTGAGTGTAATAATGAACTTATCTTGAGCAATAACATTTTAATTTCATTATTGGACCCATGAAAAAGATTTTGCATTATAAGTGCAATAAATATTGTATCGCAATTAGCGTAAGGTAAAAAATCAATTGTGGGTCACTTTTTTCAAAAATGCATATTTAAAATATTAATGTTGAACAAGTAGCCAAAGTAGCTTCGAGACGTTCAAATATGATCCCTTGACTACGTTTTGCAGCATAGAAGCCCCGTCTTTCGTCCTTGTTTACTGAGCTACAGCCGTTTTTAAAACTGGCTGTTTTGGCCCACAATTGATTTTTGGAACCAATTGTGGGTCAGCAATTTTTGAAGCTACCCGCGCGCCAAGCCTTGTACTGCATTTGCCAAACTAAGGTTGACTTTGAGTCCTTAACCTATTATATCCTTAAATCAGCAAGGGCGTCCCCCTCCGTTCCATAATTCGATTTCTTTTTAATGTTTGAAAAACATCCTTTTTTCCGTTTTTCTTGCCCTTGGATTGGCCCAATTTTCCGTTGAATTTTTAAGGTCTCTCTTTGCTGCCCGATGGGTTTCGTTGTGGTCGATGCTCAGACATCCGCACCTTTTCAGCTGACAAAGGAAGGTTGAGGGAAGACCCATACCGAATTTGAAGCCGGTGCGGTCATTCATGGATTTGTAGCGGCCCGTCAAACAAAATGGCCCACAATTGATTCGTGACCCACAATTGAATTTTGACCTTATTTATCACTTCATTGGTGTAGTTATCTCTTTATCACACCAAAACTGAGGTAATCTGGGCCCAGACCAGCCATAACCTAAGAGACTCATTACATTATTGACGCAATAATTTTTAGTGCTGGCACGGATGCGATAATTTGAACGAATCACGTTATC